AAAAGACTTGCTTTTTCATTAGAAACTTCGTAACTCGGGTCAATTTCCATTTTTTGACAGTATCTAAAGACTTAGAACAATCAGAAAAGAATCTTCTTTCGAATAAAGTCAAGAAAGACCGGGAAATCCTCTCATAAACAGTTTTTTGTGCGATCTGAAATAATACTCTAGAAATTATCAAGTTTTTTCTAGAAAGCTCTGGCTGAATCAGCTCGACTCTGATATTTTTTTCTGAGTTGAATAGTATTGTAATCTAGACCTTATTTTCATTTTCGGCTCGGAAACTCTTTTTAAACTGAAAGTTTTTCATGAAAGAACAGTTTTCTGAAATGAATCTTTATTGGTATCTTGCAGGCGGCTGCCCAAAAATGAGAAAAAAAGAAGTCCGTAGAAATCGAAGTCGATATTGGAGAAATTTGATGGCTTGTTTGCGAGACTCATTCAATCTGAACGTCCGTCAGTTAGATGGTTTATTTGTCTGTTAACTATCAACTACTTTTTTTGTATTACTCGTATAAAGCAAATTTTGGAACGTACCGTCAGCTTTTCGAACTGCGTGATGAGAACTTCGATACTGACGTCAGCTGGGGTACGGGCATCCTTGGTCTCGTGATGGCTCTTTAAGAATTCATTTTTTGATAACTAGATCGCTTTCGGAAATTCGAAAAAATAAGTTATTTCTTCTCGTATTGCTACCTTAAAGTTGCAAGAAAAAGATTGCCTTTTTGTTGAACTTATCAGGATTTTAAAGTTTCTAATTTACCTGGAGGACAGAGTAATTGACGCTTTTCGTAAGTGGTGATGGTTCCAAGACGGCAAGCTTGGTCTGAAGCCTCGGAAATCATAAAATACTCGTATTTGAGATATGGTTACAATATGTGGCCAAAACGGCCAGAAACGAAATGTTTCAAAAGTCACCCTGTCAAATGCCACGCCAAACGAGAACCTGTTCGGGGAACGAGGAACCGGAGCACTTTTCTGCAAAAGTTAGTGTGAACTACTTGTATGGTAGTAAAAGAATTGAGCTATTTTTTTTCAGACTACTAAAACATTTTCATACCATCAAAAATATCCTATGTGTCACTCTTGAGTTCCCTTCCTATCCCAAAATAACTCACCATTTTTCCTGCCACCATTTCAATGTAAGCTGCTCTTTCTCTGTCGCTGTTTGCTTTGCTTCGTGCAAAGCAGTCTTCGCTACCAGAGAGCTGTTTTTGGGAAGTAGATAGTCTATCCAAGTTTTCGGCCGTCGGGTTGGTCGTAGCCATCCACTGAGCCTCATCGACTTCGAATCGATCATTCACCAGCTGTGATTCCCAGAAAGACTTAGTTTCCAGGGACGCCTTGTAGGAAGAGCGCAGAGAACGGATCGGATGCATTATTTCTTCGTGATTTTCAAACTTGAAAGGATTGGGCACAGCTTCAAAATCATCGAGAGAAGCTGGCGGCAACTATAAAACGGCAAAAAAATCATCAAAAAAAAACGAAAAAATTACATTTGGATCCTCTTGTATCATGCTGGCCAGTTTCTGCTCCAAATATCCCAGTTTGGCTTTAAGAACATCCTGCCTATATAAAGCATCATCGAGGTACAAGGCGATGAGGTTGGACCGCAGTTTGAGTTTGATATCCTCACTCTCAGCCATCCTTATATTGTTATCCTCGTAGAAGCGTTCATATACGAACACCAGATCGCGAGAGAGCGCCGAGTTAAGCTTGGCCCTTTTGGCCGCCGCCAAATAGCTTTCGTAACTCATCACACGTGCTGTCAAAGTTAATTGAAACAAAGTCCGGCACTTTTTTTTCGATTGCAAGAAAAAGTGCTATAAAAAGGTATTTAATCATGTCTATAAATTTCGTTCGTAAGAAGACTTTTTCTGATTATTCTGAGATTTTGGATACCGTCAAAAAGAGGGAAATGACTCTTTTTACAAACATTTTACTCAAAAATAGCTTTTATTTATTCTCATAACGTTTTCGTTCCTATCGAAAATTCTCAAAAATAGATACGGTCATGGTAAAATCTAACGCCTCATAAAGACTACTGTTTGTGAGGATCCAAACTAGGAGTCCAAGGATCCTCTTCAGAAGCCTCAGAACCCCAGCCTGGATCAACAATCTCGGAAAAAAAACGTACCAGCGAAGATCCAAGGAGGCGACGGGGAAGAACTGCGCTAGGAAGAGCTCGGAGTAGAGCTGGTTGCCGAGGCGACGTCTGACTGCAGAAATGACTTCTCTCCAATATGAGCCGACACGTTAATTTCGACGTCATTTCTTATTTTATCCATTAGTTTAATTTCTTTTTTTATTCATTTCTATTTCAATGCATGGAAAATCCTCAAAAGTCGTGAATTTCAGTTATCACACACCGTTCGAGTTCTGAATTTTTAGTAGTTCGGTCAGTCTCAAGAATGAGTGAAAAGTTATTATCAGTCATGTTCTTTATTTTTATTACTCAGAACTAATTTTTTTTGATCATTCTAGAAATTTGTACGAAGTGAATCGTGAAAACTAGAGACCGTCAAAAAGTGAAAATCGATC